ACAGCCTTCCTAATTAATGAGCCTCGGGGCTGCATTTCATCAGCTGAGTCATAACTGATGTCTGGGCCCTGGGCCCAAAGAGAGGGTACCAGGAGTCAAGGAGAGTCCTGGGAGGTAGAGGCAGCTCAGAGCTGCTGTCTCACCCATTTGATGGTTTCCATCTAACCTTCTAAAATCTTTTTTAAACATATGGTTTTTAGGTACGTGTACACGGGTATGTCCCTGTCCTGTGAAGGCAGGTGCCCTAGAGCCGCAGAATCTCAAGACTGGAGTTTCAGGTGTTTGTGGCCCCCCTGACTTAGATGCTGGGAGCTGAATTTGGGTCTTGGGGAAGAGTGGTGAGTTCTCTTACCCACTGGGCTATTTCTCCGGACCCTTGCCTGCCCTCTTCCCCTCCCCCTTTTCAGATTTATGTATTTTCTGTGTGTGAGTGTTTTTCCCACGTGTCTGCATGTGTGCGTACCACATGCATGTCTGGTACCCACAGAGGTTAGAAGAGGGCATTGGATTTCCTGAAACTTGCTGAGTCCTTCCCCAGCCCCCTTTCGAGACCGTCTCACTGTGTAGCCCTGGGTGGCCTTGCTGTATAGACCAAGCTGTCTTGGAACTCATAGAGATGTATCTGACTGCCTCTGCCTCCAGAGTGCTGGTACTGAAGCCAGCTGCCACTATGCCCAGCATGTCTTCCTTATTAAATAAATAAAGCCCAGCTCCACCAGTGCCACACACAGTTCATTGGGCACCAAATCACCCATTATTTCTCCAGTCATGCAGTTTTTCTGTCAGACTTTGTCTTTGGACACATGTATTCACACATCTGGAGTCTCCATGAAACATGACCAGCCCACCTCATCAGGATCCGGACACCTGCTTCCCCTGGATGCAAGCTAAGACCCTCGTCACATCCTCCTCCCAGTGTCTGCATTGTGGGTACTTTTCCATTCACACAGGAGCCAGGAGATGGCCCCGCTTTCATGCCCGACTCTAAGAAGGGCTTACCGACCTCTGTGCCTCTGGTTCTTCATGGAGGCTATGGACTCAATTGAAGGGCCTGTAGATCACTGGTTCTCAACGTGTGGGTCATGACCCTTTCACAGGGGTCATCAAAGACCATCGGAAAATGCAGACATTACATTATAATTCATAACAGTAGCTGTACTGAAGGGCCACAGCATTGGGAAGGTCGAGAAATGCTGCTGTTCACCAGATCAGTGCAGGCCGTGCAAATGGACCCGTAGGGGACCACGGAGCAGCTCCTATGATTACCTCCCACGACCGAATCTCGTCTTGCTCCCAGACCCAGAGTTGTGTTGATTAACCCATACAAAGCACAGAGCACGCCACCAGGACATCAAGCCTCGATATATTCCTCCTCCTCTTCTCTGTGTGTGATGTTGGGAATCAAATCCATGGAAGTACGTCAGCTTTTCAGCATTTGAAGGCAAAGTTTTATTTTCAACCATGCATGCCCTTCAAGGTACTCATAACTTCCTCGATAACATGAATAACGTCAGGTATGTCACCTGCTCTGGAGCCTACAGTCTGGCCGTAGATGCCCCCTCCCCCGGGTTGCTAGGGCTCTTCAGTCCCTAAAGGGTCAAACTGCCTGTGCTGCTTTCTGGTGGAACAGGGATTTTTATAATTTTTTTTGTTTCTTTTTTAAATTATTCTAATTAAAAAAAAACATTTTATGAAAAAATATTTTATGTGTATGAGGGTTTGCCTACCTGTATATCTGTGCACTATTTTTGTGCCTGGTGTCCCCAAAGGCCAAAAGAGGGCATTGAATCCCCCCGGAGCTGGAGTTACAGATTGTTGTGAGCTGCCATGTGTGTGCTGGGGTCAAACCTAGGTCCTCTGGAAGAGCATCGCATACTTTAAACTGCTAAGCCATCTCTTCTGATTTTTACAGTTAGTTTTGTTCTTTGACAGTTTCATTCTTCTGTAGTGAACTGATGACTCTCTCTCTTTTACTGACCTCCCTCTCACCCGCCCTCCACCTCTCCCACCCCACCCCTCTGCCTGTGAGTCTCCTCAGACCCACAGCTTTTGGTTGGTTTTGTCCTGTGACCCATTTAGTTTAAGGACTGTGTGAACTGAAGGCACCATCTCCCCTCTGTCCCACTGTCAGCAGCCAACAGTTCAGCAGTGGAAGGCAGGGACTCTAAGCCTTCCTCCAGCCATGCCTGACTGTGATGGGTCCACCCTTTTTCAGAAGAGGTACTGGATTCCCTAAAACTGGAGTCAAAGAAGGTTGAGACACACCATGTGGGTGCTGGGAACAGAATGATGGTCCGTGAGAAGATCAGGAAGTGTTTTTAACCACTGAGGCATCTCTCCAATGCCCTGAAGTGCTCATTCCCTTCCTTCCTCCTCCCTCCCTCTCACTCTCCGAATCTTCCTTTCTTTCTTCAGACACGGTCTCTTTTTGCAGCCCTGGATGTTCTGGAACTTGATATGTAGACCAGGTGGCCTCGAAAGGAGATCTGCCTGCCTCTGCCTCGTGAGTGCTCAGGCGTAGCTTACTTGACTCATGTGCCTGAGGCCTATGGTTTATTCCTCGGGACAGGTTCACAGTGAGAAGGGCTTGTTCTGTTTTGCTTAATACAAGTGTTGGAAGAGACAAATATTGAGTGGTGATAGGCAGCACCGTCTTGATACTAGAAGACACGAGCAGCTGTCCCTCTCCATCTTTAGTCTCTTATGGGTAATGAGGTGTCCATGGGGGTGCACACTTGCCTAGAATGGACGAGACCCTGGGTTCCACCCCAAGCACGGGGTGGGGGGAGGGGTGGCAGGCAGAGCCACTTCAGCAGGTGGTCAATACTTGGTACAGAGCGAGGTTCAAGCCCACCCAACAACCCCAAGCCATCTGTGTTCTCTCCACTTAGGGCTCTTCTCTCCTAGAGGAAAGGTTCACATGGGACACACCAGTCTCCCATTCATATCTAGTCCTCACACTGTCCTCACCCTTAACAGTGACGGTAGACTTGGTCTGTACCTCAACTGTCCAGTCTAGTAGCCTCTATGAAATGTGGCTGGCTGGTGACACTAGGAACTAAATTCAGTTTGCTCAGGCTGGCCTCAAATGCACAAGGGTTGAGAATACGGTCATGAGCCCTGACTCCCAGCTTTTATTTTAATATAATCACCCAGTAATGAAAGGTGACTGTTCTGAACAGTATCCTTTGGCCAGTTCCCAACCCAGCTCTCCCTTTTCCGCTCAGAATATGCTACATGTGCAAGTAGCCTGGAGGCCAGGTGAGATGAAGCAGGCCTCAACAGGAAGCAAAGTGGGGGCACTGTGGGCCAGGTCCTCCTTACAGAATACCCATGGGAGCTCGGTGGGAGAAGGCCAGCCCACAGGAGTTCCACTCCTACCCCAGTGGTCGTCACAATGGCATTCAGCTCTGCGTCACAATGCCACTGGCAGTGGGAGGCTGGTCTCTTTGTCTGTAGACCTAGTTACAGGAACTCCAGCGTCAGAGGACCCTGTTTCCTGGGGAATGGAAAGGAGCCCAGCAGTGGAGTGGCCTCAAGATGGAGACCAATAGGAAGAAGCCCAACAAGTGTGGGGCTGGGCGAGCCTCCCCAGTCCCTGAACCCAAGGGGTACAGGGCCCAGCTGTGTTCCTACAGGGAACAGGGATTCTCCGTCAACAGTGAACAGCTGCTGGTCTTCTTCCTGGCTATCTGGTTTTTCTATTTCTTCTGCCTTCAGGACTAATTCTGACAGAGCCTCCTTCCACGTGCTCAGGGAGTGGCTGAGGGTCAGAGCTTTGGCCCAATAGGGCGGATGACCAGGTCTAACCAGTTAACTTAGAGAATGAAGACGAAGAGCCTGGACCCACTGTGGGCTCCTCGCCTCAAGCTGCCTGCCTTCTGTTCTCAGAATTCTCCAGTGCCACGTCTTCAACATGTCTCCAGCCTTGAGCCTCCACTGAGTATGTGACCCGATTACCAGGAAGAGACAGCACAGCTCTGGAAGGCTGCCAGGTCGAAGCAAGGTTATAGCTGTGTCTTCTTGGTCAGTGGAGTTGGGCTCTGCATGTTTACTGGGAAGCCGTTTTGTGCCTGGTCCCAGGTCCAATCTCTAATGAGAAATAAAATGCCCATGGGGCCAAATAACATTTTCCATTTTGGTGTCTTTGAGACAAATGTTTGCTACGTAGCTCAGGCTGGCCTTGAAGCAGTCCTGCTGTTTCCATTTAAAAACTTGCCCCACACATGGCTTTTATTCTTGTATTCCAGGGAAGAACAGAGCCCTGCGGTGCTTAGAATGGTTCCTGCAAGGGTGGAGAAAAATAGCACTTCCTCGGGGCTGGGGATCAGATTGAAGAGAAAAACTTAATCGCATTAAGGGTGTGGGAGTGGCTCCCCCTGGACTCAGGGTAGGTGCCGCCCACCCCAGGGGCTCCCAGACCTAGTTTTCCAGCAGAGGAGGACAGGCGTCTCTGGTAGAGCTGCAGAGCAGCAGCAGCTTGGGGGCTCTTAGGAGCGGGGGGGGGGGGGCAGGGGTGGCCCCAGCACTCACTCGGAGGTGTGAAGGCTGAGTTGGAAGTGGGCTGCTCCACCATGTTGGGTTGTGGGTAGGTTCCAACCTCAACCCAGCCCTCTGTAGCTGTATGGGCTAGGAACACCACACCTAGCAGGGAAGCTCAGCAGAGTGGGGATGAGCGGGAGCCACCAGGTGGAACAGGCCCTGGCGTCTCCTCTGAAGGGTGCAGCACAGCAGGCGTTGGTGTGGAGGAGGAAGGAGTGACATTTCCCCTAGTGGCCACCTCTATGGACACATCCCCTGGGAACACTGAACTCCCTCTGCCTCATGACTGAGCCCTGGGCAATCTGAAGAGACATGTGGCTCAAGAGGCTGGAATTTATCTCAAAGTGGACAGTGCCTGGAAGGGGGAGGGGAAGTCTGGTAACCTGCACAATATTCTTGTCATGGCTGGAAGTTCTTGACAGGGTGAACAGAGCTGTACACAATCTTTTTTCTTTGGGATTCCACAAGGTTTAATTTTGAACAGGGAAAAAAAAATGTCACCCAGGGAGCCAATGAGGTGGTTGAGAAGGTAGAGGAGGCTGCCACATCGCTGGTGTGGGGCCACATAGTCTGAAGGAGTGCGCTGACTGCCGCAGGCGCACGGCGCACGTGTGCCATACACACGTCAGAATTTGTTAAAGATGTTGCCTATGCACAACATTTTCCTGCACTGGGCCACATGTGAACAGGAATCTCCTCCCTCAGAGAGTGGCTCCAGGAGCAACAGCACACACTCTGGCACCTGGCCTGATGGAAGCTACTGGTCCTCCCCTGGCACGGACACACCCATACTGGATAGATCTGAAGCACTGCCTGAGCAATGCCAGTAAGTGTATATGGCTGCCCTGTCCTGTGTCAGGAGGAAGCCTTGGTGAATGCCAACGGTCACTTTATTAAGGCTCCAAGTGCCTGCAGGTGTGAGAGTACACGTGGCTAACTCATTTGCTTGACTGCCCCTACCATGGTCCACTTCTGAGTGACCCTGAGGCAGAGAAGGCTGTGTGAGATCCCAAGTCACAGTCTACTGAGCTCCATCCATAAAGCTCCATTAGAAGGCTGTATGCAGATAACACAGGGCTTGAGGGGAGTGCTTCTCAGCAGTTGGGGCTGGCTCTGGTTGGATGTGGCGAGGTAGTCCAGGGAGAACATGGATGTCTTCCCCAGACCAGCCTATGGCTTTGTTATCCTGTTCTTGCCTAAGGAGTGTGGGTTGTCCTGACCCAGTCCCCATATCACACCGTGAGGTGCTCAAGTCCAGGAGAGAACAGGGTCAATGGGATCCTGATCTTGTTCCCTCCACCTGCAGGTATCCCCCAAAATGGGACTTCTCTGGTTGAAGCTGGTCACTCAAAAATGGACCCGCAGCACATCCTGGCTAGCGACTGGCTGCTGGCAGGCTGTGCACATCATGGGCTGAGAGCGCTGCTTCTCACTCAGGCAGGGTCGGCACAGAAGGTGGCCGCAGGGCAGCTGGTACACAGGCTCCTTTGTGTAGTAGGAAGAAAATGCTCTTTTGCAGGAGGCACATTCTGGACCAGAAACACTCCTAGGATGCTCTGGTGAATCAGAAGAATGAGGCAGGGTTAGGTGAGTCTGTTCCTCAGTGTAAGCTTTGTCCCTGGAAGCTGAGAACTGACAGGCCCTCCCTTCTACCATCTTTATCAGTCTTGGTGCTGTGTATGGATGATTAAGAACTGGCTCCTGAATGTAGTGCACAGGACCAGGCCTGTCCCCTGGTCTCCCAAACAAAGTGTACATTCCCCAGCCAAAGCTAGAGCAAGGTACAAACTTACCCTGACAAGAGAAGCTGCAAGGAAAGAGAAAAGCAGAACGTGGCCCAAATATCAGGATCAGAACAGCCCGGGTGGAAGGAAATCATCAGAGGGGCAGCTTTAATCTCAGTAGCTTCCTTCTAGCCCCTCAATCCCCTTCTTGAACTGCCCTGGCTTCGAGCAAGCCCTCCCACTACAAGATGGCCTCAAGGCCTCTAAATAAGGCAGCTCTGATCCCCCAACCCCTGTGGCTCTTCCCTCCCACCGACAGGAATTTGAAGAAGCAGCTGCTCTTCCTCAACTCTAAGAAACAGAGGCCGGGTTGGCCGATACTCGGGGGGGGGGGACCCCAAGTTACCTTAAACAAATCTGCTTTGTAAAAATTCCTTGCTGTTTTTGTTGTTTTTCTTAGGGGGTTCCCTGTGATTTTTGTCCTTTTTTTGGTGGTGGTGGTGGGGGGGTCCCATGCTACAATATGCCTTGGAGGTGAGAGAACAACTTTGTTCTCCCCTTCCACTTTTATATGGGCTCTGGGGAGTGAACTCAGTCACTAGGGTTGCCATGCAGGGGCTATCAGTATAGTCCTGAACTTAGAATCTTCTCTTGTGGGCTTGGGACTACAGCTGTGAGCCACTCCTTCTGGCTTGGAAATTCTTATCCCAAGCCATGCTCTCTTTAAAACATATTTGGTTTTATGTGTATGAGTGCTCTGCCTGTTTTGTCATTTTACTGTGTGTACCTGGTGCCACAGAGGCCAGAAGAGACATTAAACCCGGGAACTGGGGTTGCAGACAGCTGTAAGCCATCATCTAGACACTGGGAACTGAGCTCAGGCTCTCTGCGAGAACAAGCACCCTAACTCTTAATCTGCCTTTCCCACCCGGTCTTTAGCTGGGATGTGAGTGCGGGTGTAGGTGCGCCACCTTGAGTGTGGAGGCAGGACAGCCTCGGTTGTTGGTCCCGGCCCTCCCCTTCACGCAGGTCTCCTCTTTAATCCTGCGTACACTGGGCTAGCCAGTCTACAAGTCTCCAGGGAGTCTCTGGGAGTGGGGGAGGGGGGCTGAAGTACCACAATTGCCTGTAAGTTCAAGGCCAACACAGCAAATAACATACCACCCAGAGCTACGTAGTAAGATCCTGTCTCTGTTGCAAGACATGATAGGATGTGTATATATCATCCTAGCACATGGGAGGCTGAAGCAGAAGAATCACTCATGTCTGAAGCCGACGTAGGCTCCATAGTGAGGCCCTGCCTCAAGAGCCTGACAGAAAGTGAATTCTCACGGTATGGCTCTCAGAAGCGTCTGGAGCCTGCATGGAGAGTGGGGCTATCTGTAATAGCAGTGTCTCCATCAGTGCTAGCGCTGCAGGAATGAACGAACCTGCATGATCGCTTTCTTTTCTTTCTGAGACTGGGCCCAAGTATTTCAGGCTGATTTTACTGGCTTTCCCGAGTGCTGGGATTATAGACACAGTATCAAGTCTGGGTTACATGGTGGTGCTGGGCATTGAGCCTAGGGCTTTGCCCACAGCAGGCAAGCATTCCTTCAGCTGAGCTACTCCCCCAGCCCTCAGGCACACCTGGCACTGCACAGAAATATCAAGGGCACCAACTGCCTTTAGCACCAACAGGAGACCCATTGAAGGTCTCAGAGCTCTAGAGCTTCAGACAGTTTCAGAGACAAAAAGCACAGCTCTTTAAAGTAGAATAAATAAAAATAAAGATGCAGGGATGCTGGTGTGAGCAAAAGGAAAGGAGATAGAGTTGCAACAAAGGACAGTGGGGCTCTGCCTCCTGTCATGGGAATCTTAAGAGGTGGAATACTGTGATCTGCTAATTGTACAAGAATATCTTCTGACTCTGTGAGGACAATGGGGCGATGGGCGATGGGGAGGGTGAGCAAAGTAGCTATAGGGAGCTAACAAAGAGGCTGCAGAACTGGTACTAGGGTGTCCCTCAGAACCATAGCAAAGAAAATCATAAAGGGGGCTGATGAGATGGCACAGCCTGATGGTCTGAGGTGCTTCCTGGAACCGATGGCAGAGGAGAACAAACTTCTTAAAGTTGTCTTTGGACCTCCATGTATGTACCTGGAAGGACCTAAGAATGAATGCCCTGTCAAGAGTGAGGACATTAAAGGGAAAGCTGACCACTTCCATGCTGAAGGCTTGACAAGTACAAGACAAGGCTCTTTTCCAACATGGGCTGAGGAATGCTCGGGGAGAGCTTTGAAAAGCAGGCAGGAGTGCGGGCATAGTGGTGCTCAACTTTAATCCCAGCACTCAGGAGGCAGAAGCAGGCGGATCTCTGTGAGTTTGAGGCCAGCCTGATCTACAAAGTGAGTCCAGGATAGCTAAGGCTGTTACACGGAGTAACCCTGTCTCAAAAAAAAAAAAAAAAAAAAAAAAAAAGAAAAAGAAAAAGAAAGGCAGACAGGACAAGTCAGAGTTAGAATAGGGATTGGAGATGCCAAGGAGAGGGATCCCAGCAACTGTTAGGGAGGGGCAGGAGCCATAAAGGCAGTATTGGATAAGGGCTCTGACTGGTAGAGACTCTAGCAATGGGAATTGAAAAGAAGGGCTAAAAGCCAAAAGAAGGAGAAGGTGGCTAAGGCAAGAAGAGCTAGCCAATCACATCACCAGATGTCGAGAGGACAAGTACCCACGAGACTCATTTCACTGGACACTCTGAGAGACATGCTCTTGGAGATAGTTAGGGAAGAAAAGGAGTGGGCAAGGGTTAAATGGAAGTCCAGATGACAATAGGAGGGACAGGCTTTACATCAGAGGGGGAATCAAGGGCCTGGCTCTATGAGCCTCACCAGGCTTCACTTTGTCCTTTGTTTAAGAAGGGGGTCGTGAAGGGGAACACACAACTGGAGAGATGGCTCAATGAGTAAGGATCACTGGCTGTTCTTGCAGAGGACCTGGGTTCAGTTCTGAGCACCCACATAGCTCACAACTATCTGTAACTCCAGTTTCAGGATATCTGACACTTTCTTCTGAACTCTACCAGGCACAGACATACATGCAGGCAAAACATTCACATACATAAAACAAATGAAAAAGAAAAAAGAAAAAGAAATCCAGTTAGTTCCTCACTTTGTATCTACCATCCAATATAATCCTAGGTGGATTTTTTTTTTTTTTAATTTGGCTCAGTAATCTACCACTGTGCTTTTCTAGTACAATGATGAAAATGTTATCAAGAAGGGCAGAGGATGACATCTGAAACCTACACCTTTCTTTACAAGAACATAAAATGGCCCAGATGTCAGATGAGAGGAAGATTAGGACACAGAAAAGGAGCATCAATGTCCCAGGAGAGAACTATGTCTTCCACCTTAGCCAAGTATGGTGGGCACCTTTGTAATCCCAGAACTTGGAAGCTAGAAAGTTCAAGGCCAGCAAGACCCTATGTCAAAGTAATCAAAACAAAAACCTCTAGCAAAGATAGCCAGATTAGAGCCCACAGAATGGCAGGGCTAACTAAAGGCTTTGCCTATGATGACTCAATCTCCAGGCAGCCCCTCGTCTCCTTCTGGAGAAGACAAGAGAGAGTGAGAACTGTAGTGAGGGAGCTCGGAGAAGCCCACAGAGCCCGAAAATACTAGGTCCAGCATCTTGCACAGGCAGATGCTAAGCCCCAGCAGATTACCGGAGCTGGCGTCCGGCCTCCTGGAAGCACTACTCCCTCTTGTGCCGAGCTGCCCCTTGGTGAGCCGGGCAGTGAAGGAAGGCATGGAGCCAAGAGTGGAAGTCAAGGCAATTTCCAAACTTTGCGACAGCTTCTGCTCATGGGACACTGGACCTGTTGAGAGATACAAGAGTGTAATATCCAGGAATGCTCAGCAAGAGAGAAATAGCCACAAGTCCTTGGAGGACCAGAAAATGACCTTTTCAACTTCAGACATGTGAATATAATGTCTCCCAGGATGGTAATGGCAGAACAAGAGAGTCAAAGACCTGGGAGCCCGGACACTTCCTCCCCATCTTTAATGCCCACACAGCTCTGAGCTTTTTCTAGCTTCTCCCCAAAGTGCTGTGCAGGACAGAGCCATCTTGAGCTTTCAATGCAGAACTGCACCTACCTTTTCTTTTCTTCCCTAAAACATAAATGGTTGTGGTGCTGGACTGGCACCTTCTAGACAGTCACTCTACTACTCACTCAGTATATCCCAAGGCCCTGTGTTACACTTTGAAAGTCTTTCCTGCTGGCCAAAGAAATGATGAGACAAGCTGATGCCAGCTCTGTACAGTTCCTACCACTCTACCCTACTTGTTTTCCTTTTGTTTTGTTTTTTTCTTTTGAGACAAGGTTATCACTATGCAGCCCAAGTTGGCCTCAAAGTCATGTTGACTGTTTAGCCTCTGCTTCTTGAATGCTGGAATGACAGGCATTTGCTACCATACTTTTCTGATTCATAAATAAATAAATAAATAAAGCTCAGGTGTTGAGGACATGGCTCTGCCAGTAGAGTACTCCTGGCAAAAGCACGAGGATCTGAGGTTGATTTCCCTGGAATCTGTGTCAAAATCCAGGTGCAGTGGAATACACCTGTAGTCCCAGGTCTGCGGAGGCAGAGAAAGGCACACCCTTGAGCTTGCTGGTCATGCAGGCCTGGCAACCCCAATTCAATTTCTGGAGCCCACAGAGGAAGAGAATAACTAACTCTGAAAGCTATCCTTTGACCTACACACACGTGCATGGCACATGAGTGCCTACACACACACATAAATAATAATAATAATAATAATAATAATAATAATAATAATAATAATAATAATAATAA